CTAAAGTTGAGCGGGAGGAGGGAAAATGAGAGGAAAGGCATGGAAAGGTCCCAAAATTTGGGGATTTTGAGATCCTTAGGGGGTCCTTGAAATCCTGGGGGGGTTCCCGAAATTATGGGGGGGTCCGTGAGATCCTGGGGGCATCGTTGGGATTTTGGGGGGGTCCCTAAAGTCATGGGAGGGTCACTAAAGTTGAGCGGGAGGAAGGAAAATGTGAGGAAAGGTCCCAAAATTGAGGGTGGTTTCCTGGAATTTGGGGGTCCCTGAAATTATGGGGGGTCGTTGGGAATTTGGGGGGGTCATTGGGATTTTGGGGGGATCCCAAAAGTTGTAGGGAAATCTCTAAAGTTAAGTGGAAGGAAGGAAATGCGAGGATAGTCATGGAAATTGGGGGTGGAGTCCCAAAATTCGGGGTATTTTGAGATCCTGGGGGGGTCCTCAAAATCCTGGGGTAGTCCCTGAAATTAAGAGGGGGTCCCCAAAGTTGTGGGAGCGTCCCTAAAGTTGAGCGGGAGGAGGGAAAATGTGAGGAAAGGTCCCGAAATTGGGGGTGGTTTCCTGGAATTTGGGGAGGTTTCGAGATCCTGAAGGGGTCCCTGAAATTCTAAAGGGAATCCCCGAAATTATGAGGGGATCCCCGAAATCCTGGGGGGGTCGTTGGGATTTTTGGGGGGGGTCCCAAAAGTTGTGGGGGGTCCAAAAAGTTATGGGAGAATCGAGGAAAGGATGCGTCATCCGCATCAACAAAATGCTGTCCTGTGCCGGGGCTGACAGGTCTGGGGGGTCCCCAAAATTATGGGGGGGTCCAAAAACTCTTGGGAGAATCTCTAAAGTTACAGGAGGGTCCCTAAAGTTGAGCGGGAGGAGGGAAAATGAGAGGGTGGGCATGGAAAAGTCCCAAAATTTGGGGATTTTGAGATCCTGAGGCGGTCCCCGAAATTCTGGGGGGGTCCATAAAATTATGGGGTTGTCCCTGAAATCCTGGGGAGGTCCCCAAAATCCTGGGGGCTCCCCAGAGTTGTGGGAGAATCGCTAAAGTTGAGCGGGAGGAGGGAAAATGAGAGGATGGTTATGGAAATTGGGGGGTGGAGTCCCAAAATTTGGGGTTTTTGAGATTCCCGAGGGGGTCCCTGAAATT